CATGTCAATGCTACTCCCGACAAGTCCCCCACCTGAAGAGCAACTGCCAAGCAGATTGAATGCTGATTGTTTCATTCATACAACGCAAAACCTGCTTAACATCAGTGGCACTCCTATAGTTGGAGGCGCCTTCCAACAGCTTCCCCGGGCCAATCGTCAATGACATCATCCGAGCCCACGAAACTGAGACTCACCCACACGCGCTTGCACTTGCACACACAGCGTCCAAATTCAACAAGTAAGCACGGGGCATACATACATGCAAGATCGCTTGATCACAAACATTTCCGGAGAACACAGCAAACAAAGTCTGATTCTGAATCTTTACCAAAAACATCAACGGGACAACGGACTGGATTTTCAGAAAAGTCCAGAGTTCTTACACAGCACAAAACAAAAACGATGCTGCAAAGGTAACGGCTCCCCAAACAAAAGATACAGAAAAAAAAATGTTCCGCGGTGGTATTCCGTGCTGTTTTTCTTGCACGCGGGTTTTCGTCTGCTCTCAGGGTCTTCTTTTTCTTATTGTGAAAGAAGCGGCATATGATAGGGCAGTTCCTTATGGGTTTTCTTTCTTTTGTGCTTTTTTCTTTTTCTGTTTTTGCGGGCGAAGCCGCAACGGGTCATCTAGTTAATTATTAAACTCTCTCTGCCTGTTTGTCATTTCCTAATGCATCTACCTCCAGGAGCTCATAGTGAGACAGCACCACTCTGGTAGCCTAGCTAAATAGCATATTGAACTATTAAATAGCATATTAAATAATAAATAATGTTGAATAAACAAATTAAATAAATATTAATTATTAAACTCTCTCTGCCTGTTTGTCGTTTCCTAATGCATCTCCTTCCAGGTGCTCATAGTGAGACAGCGCCACTGGACTGGGACAAGAGAATGATAATTGCCCTCGGAGCTGCTCGTGCGTGAGTACAGATAACTGGTCTCAAAAGTTTTTGTTTTTTTTTTTTTTTTTTTTTTTCGTAAGGTTAGCGGGTGGCAGGATCAGACCCCGCATGCGTGGAAGCGGTTTGAAACTTTTTCCTGGATTAATTTATTTTATTCTTTTGATAAATTAATGCTCATTAAAATTTGATTATTGTGGTGTGTTGACTTGTCGCTTGCATTCTGCTTTAAATGACCGGAGCAAATTTGGATGTATCTCTTTTCTTTTTCTCTCTTTTCTTCAGCCCACCACTACCTCCCGACGAGTGGAGTGAAGATGAGAGTAGGAGGGGCTCTTATCACTCTTTTTTTTTTTTTTTTTTTTTTTTTGGCCGAAGCATTGTCTTTTGATATGAAAGCCGGGAACCGGGCCCGACTTCCCTGAACAATGTTGTAGTGGTTAGTGGTCCCCCAACAGGACAGCAGCACCGGCCGAATCCAGAGGGGAAGTCACCATGACCCCAGTACAAGGCAGATATTGCAGAATATCCACAACAGATTGTACCATACTGTTAAAGAAATCTGTGAAGTAAAGCCAAATGCAAGACTAGAACAGAAGACAAGAAATAATAGCCTACAACAGCTATGAACCCACGATAGTACCATTACAAAGCTACCACAGATCCGCCGCTCAACGAAACAGAAATCAGAAAAGGCGGTGTACAATCCGAACAAAAAGCAAAGTTTTGGCAGGGATGCAACAGATCTCAGAAGGGGGAGGGTACAGACGAACAAAACACACTCCAAAGAAACGAGCTTTCAAACTAGACAAAAAAAGCCGAGAATTGCAGCTCGGGCGTCCGACCAGGGTCAGCTGATGTCTTGACCAGGTCCGGGAAGCAGCCCCAATGACTGTGAAATCGTTTTGGGATTTTGCCGAAAAGCCTTTACTGACCTCTTTGAGCAACCCCTAAGTGGACAGCATCTGTTTGACAGTGTACGTGGTCTCCACACGAAGTACAAGGGGCGTCGATTTTTCACCTCTCCGCACTGCAGCGTTTCTAGAGTCCAGATGGTCCACAAGATCGCGCCACGCAGGCACTCCACCGCATATGTGATCGAGTCATTGCAACGCTGCCTACGTGCAGCAGCTCCCATCAATACAAAGTCGTCATTCCATCGGGTCCCCGGTTGAGGCAATGGAACAGCTCCAGAGCGCCATCAGTCCCGAAATGGCCTCACCAGATCACAGTGAAGACAAAAGTGCTGCAAATCTTCGATACGGACTCCCGGGAAGAGGGCACAAAGAGAAGAAGCCTTTGTCGTCCTTGTTGCACACCACAGCGCAGTCGGGACAGCCATGTGTGCCACCAGCCATAAGAAGCTCTCGCTTGTTTCACAACGGGCAGTTCCATCAGCAATTTCCAATAGGATGGAACGGCCCGAGACAATCTCACGTGCGTGTCTTGAATCCATCCCGAGGACCTCCATCTCTTGGTGACTATCCAATTGACATCAACCTTTGGGCGGGAGATCCGATAGCCCATGTGAGTACTGTACCGGTATAAAGGAACACTATCAGTGCGTGAATCAGTGGGCGGCCAATTGTTTTGCAGACTGGCTTACCTTCAATCACAGGCGCACACACACACACACACACACACAGAGAGAGAGAGAGAGAGAGAGAGAGAGAGAGAGAGAGAGAGAGAGAGAGAGAGAGAGAGAGAGAGAGA